TTTGGCAGCCAGAGCAGCTGCTAACTGGAGAGATCTGGGCTGCTTCCTGCCCAGGCCCTCTCCTCTCCCGGCAGCTGGTGTGATCTCCTGCCAGAGAGGAATCACGCACCATCTTTTTCTGCTCTTCCCCTTTTCAGGGGAGAGGAGAAGCTTGGGCAGGTAAGTGTCAGTGACAGGTAGGTCGTGGGATGAAAAAAGGAATGACATCACTAATACAGAGTAGCTAGAAAATCCAGCCATAGCATGGTATCATAAAGGACTGTATCAATTTCGCAAGCCCTCCCCTAAGGAAACTAAATGCTGTTTATTATCAAGACTATCATCATCATTACAATCTTGGTATTTTCTGGAGAATAAAGGGAGACCCTAAATATTTATCCTATACTTCAGTTGGCAAGTTTCAGAATTTTCTTTGGAGTCCTTTGGGCTCTATAACATCCTTGCAGATATGTGGGTTTATTCAATGTTTAAGACTTTAAAAAGCCATTAAAGTTGCAAACCACTTAAGTTGCAACGTAATTACAGTCAGTTGTAATAGTCTTGTCTTCTGCATGAAGCTGCATTTGTGCTTCAAGGAGAAAGTGAAGAAAAGGTTCCATGTTAGCTTATAAGGATAATGGGCAATAATGGATGACATTACACACCTGCCTTCACAAGCACTTATTACAGTCTCTACCTTCCCTTCCTTCCTTCCTTCCTTCCTTCCTTCCTTCCTTCCTCCCTCCCTCCCTCCCTCCCTCCCTTCCTCCCTCCTTCCTTCCCTTCCTTCTTTCTTCCCTTCTTTTGTTTTTGTTTTTGCCATAGGGTGTATGAGCTCACAGGAGACAGACAGCAAGGGGGAAAGTAAGGGAGAGGACCGCGCTGTGATCCTTAATCCTCCAGTCTCCCCTTGGGATTTTGGGCATGCACTCACACATGCTTGGCGTGATTTTCCAGCCACCAGTCTGGGACTCAAATTGTGGTCCCCCATGTGGGAGTCAAGTGCCTTAGCCACAAGGCCACTCTGCCCCAAGGCTCCACCTTGTCCAGCGTGCTGAGTGCATGAGCTGTGGTGACATGCTTTCTACATTTATTCTCTGATTATATTAAAAATTAATTATTAGGAAGATTACACTTTGGGTCCATAAATAAAATAATACTTTTTAGAATTTTGTTCTCCACGTATTAACTTTTATCTTCATTGCTTTTTCTAATTCTTTTTTTGCTTTCTCCACACATATTATAGTGTGTGTGTGTGTGTGTGTGTGTGTGTGTGTGTTGAATAAATGCTCATTAATTAGGAATTCTCTTGAGAAAAATTCTTAGTCTGGGAAATGTACGGGAACCATGGCTGGACAACTATCTTTGGCAAAAAAAATATAAATAAATAAAAAATCAGGACTCATTCTTCAAGGCTTGCGTGCAAGGGAGTGTCATGGCACTCCACTAGGTGAATTGTGAAAGAGGGAATCTAAGGGACAGACCAAAGCTTTAGACCTGCTGCCTTATTAAGGCCTTCTTAAACCCCTGGGAGGCAGGTGTTACTCTTCCTCTTACACAGATGTGGATGTTGAGGCGTAGCTAATGGGTTTGCCCAAGGCTTAGTCACTAAGAAGTGTGGACAGGTTTTGAATCCAGACATGTCTAACTCCAAACCCTGTTGTCTTGGCCCTCAGGTTTTTGACACAGAAATACAAATAGATGCAACAGTGGCCATTTGTCAGCTTGGCATTTCCCATCAGTGACAGCCTCTCTAGGGTCCTTACGTTTTCACTAAGAACTTACTTGTTCTTATTTTCCTGTTGCTAACAATCTCCTAGTGATTAGCGTATTCTGGATCATTGCCTTATAACCAAATACTGCTCTCTAATGGGAGCAGTGTCGTTCTATTTGTGTTTACGCTGACATCAGAAGTATTTCTCCACCCTAGAAACCACAAGCTACAATACAGAATACCTACTCTTCCCTTCTGCCTGGTGAACAGAACCCTGATCTGTCTGGAGGCAACAAGGTTGCCTTATTTCCTAAAATCCCTTGCAGTTAAGAATGGCCTTGTGGCTTTGTTCTAGGCAATGGTTTCTAAGACTACTTGGGTAGTTTTTCAGAACTATCCATAAAGGTGGCTGACTTAGGCCAATGTCTTCCTTTTCTGTTCTTTTCTTTTTAAAATTCTGCAGTACCTGAGAGTCTACAGTACCAGGTCAGTGTGTGAAGTGGGTAGGTAAAGCAAGCTTTTCTCTCATCTCCTTGCTCCAGAAATCCCCTTGCTAATTGTGCTTGGGTGGAGAACTTAGCAGATATTAGCAGATAAAAGCAGATTCTCTGCTTGACCTGAGCCAAAAAGCCAAGAAGCATTGGCCAATGTCTTTTTTTTCTTTTCACTTTCTATTCTTTCTCTTCTTCCAGCCAGGAGGGAGGTTGAGATGTTACCAGGAGGGCGAGACTATATCCTAGGGATAGTTGAGGCAAAGATCGAAATAGTGTCCATCTCTCACGACTACACGGAAACCGTTGGCCCAGCCTAATACACGACTGCCTGCAGACACTTCATTATGTGGGAAAAATAAGCTCTCTCACTTTTTAGCTGCCTTATTGAGAGATCATTTACATGCTATAAATTCACCTGTCTTGTGTACAATTCAATGATTTTTCGTAAATGTGCAGGGTTGTGCAAACATCATTACATCCCAATTTAGAACATCTCTGTCACCTCTGAAACATCCCTCCTGCTCATTGGCAGTCCGTCCTCACTCCTGCTCTCAGCCCCAGGAGCCCCGAGCTTTCTGTCTCGCTAGATTTGCCTTTTCTGCCCCTTTTATATAAACAGAATCGTACAATATGTAATCTCATACATCTACTTTCCTTCACGTGGCAAATTGCTTTTTATTTTTTATTTTATTTTATTTTATTTTTTATTTTTGCCACAGGGCGTGTGCACTCACCAGAGAGAGACTATGAGAGGGAAGGTGAGAAATCACCCCCCAGGGAAAAAGGCCATGCCACAATCCCTTCTCCTCCATTCTCCTCCTGGGACTTCAGGCACACACGCATATGTGCCTAGCATAATTCTCAAGCCACCAGGTATGGATCTGCAGTTGCACACGGTCATGTGGGAGTCCAGTGCTTTAACCACATGCTGCCTGCTGGTCTCTATTTTATTTTATTGGTTATTTTTTTGCTCTAGGGCATGTGCCTTCACTAGACAAAGAGAGAGAGAAGGAAGGTGATAAAGCATCCCCCCTCCCAGGGGAAAGCCATGCCATGATCCCTTCTCTTCCATTTTCCTCTCAGGATTTTTTGGCATACATGCAAAATGCATGCTCTTGACATGATTTTCAAGATACTGGGTCCAGGACTTGAACCGTGGTCGGCCATGTGGAAATCCAGCTGCCTCAACCACCACACCTCCAGCTGGCCCGGCATACTGCTTTTTATATTCTCCCATGCTGTACCATGTATCAATAGTTCGTTCCTTCTTCTTGCCAAAAACACCCCACCCTATGGCCATGCCACATTTATTTATCCATTTACCAGTTGATGAATATGTGAATTGTTTTCACATTATGAATCATACTGCTATGAATATATATGCATCTTTGTAAAAACATGCTTTCATTTCTCTTGGGTAGCTATTTAGGAGAGGAATGGCAAGGTCATATGGTAAATTTATGTTTAATTTTTTAGAAACCATAAAACTGTTTTCCAAAGTGGCTATACCATCTTACATTCCCACTGGCAATATATAAAGGTTATAATTTTTCCATATCCTGACCTATAAATTGTCCTTTTTCTAGAGAGATATTTTTGCTAGAGGGCAGTTGTGCTCGCCAGACAGACAGAGAGAGACAGAGAGACAGAAAGTGAGAAATCACCCCCCAGGGGGGATGGTCACACTGCAATCCCTTCTCCATTCTCCTCTCGGGATTTTGCGCACACATGCACATGCACCTTGTGTGAGTTTTAGGTCACCAGACCTGGGACTTGGACTGGTCAGCTATGTGGGAATCCAGCGACGGCCATCTACTGGCCCCTGGAATTGTCTTTCTGATTACATTCATTCTAGTAGATGTAAAGAAGTATCTCATTGAAGTTTTCTTTGCTCTGTTTTTGTCTGTTTTGGTTTGATTTTTTAGATTTTGCCATAGGGTGTGTGCACTTGCCAGAGAGAGACAGTGACAGGGAAAATAAGAAATCACCCCCCCAAAGGGGATGGTCATGCAGCAATCCCTTCTCCATTTTCCTCTTGAGATTTTTGGGCACACTTGCAGGAGTGATAAGAGTGATTTTCAGGCCACTGGGTATGGAACTTAAACAGCCTTTGGCCATGTGGAAGTCTAGCACCCCAACCGCCACGCCACCTGCTGATCCCTCTCATTGTAGTTTTAATTTTGGTTTCCCTTATGACTAATGATGCCAAGCATCTTTTTACATGCTTATTAGCTGTTCATATTTCTTTCATGAAATATTTGTTCAACCATTGCCTGTTTTTTTGATTGGTTTATTTGTTTTAAGAGGTTTTTGCCTTAGAGTACATTCCTTTGCCAGAGAGAGAGAGAGAGAGTGAGAGGGAAAGTGAGAAATCATCCCCTGGGGGGATGGCCTTGCTGCAATCCCTTCTCCTCCATTCTTCTTCCAGGATCTTGCACATGCATACACATACACCTGGCATGATTTTCAAGTCACCAAGTCTGGGATTCGAGCTGTGATTGGCCATGTGGGAGTCCAGCAACATAACTGCTACACCATCTGCTGGCCCCAAATCGGACTATCTATCTTATTATTGACTTATATGAGACAATATTCTAGATGCAAATCCTTTATTAGAAATAATATTTGTGCAGGGCTGGCCTTAAGTGCAGTTATCAAACACTGTAATAGGGAACTGAATCCTACATGATCAACCGCAGTTTGAATCCCAACCCCATGACTTCAAAAACATGCGGGGAAGATGTGCATGTGTCTTTTCATTTCCCAGTGGTATCAAAGCACAAACCTATGTAATTTTGATAAAGTCTTTTTTTTTTAATGTTTTTTCTTTCACAAATCATGCTTTTGGTGTTATGTTCAAAAACTCTTTTACCCCAGATTTCAAAGGTCTTCTAATGTTTTCTTCCACAGGTTTTATAGTTGTAGTTCTTGACTAGGTGTATGATTCGTTTTGAGTTCATTTTTGTATGTGATAATGTGGTATCTCGGTTCGTCTTTTTACAGGAAGATATTCAGTTTTCCCTGTACTGTCTTTTGAAGACATCCTTTCACCCATTGGATTTCTTTGGCACCATTGTCAAAAATCAATGGGCTATAAATGTGAAGGTTTATTTCTAGACTCTCAATTTCATTCGATCGATCTATACGTCCACCCTTACGGCAGCCCCACACTATCTTAATTAATGTAGCTTTATTGTAAGTTTTGAAATTGGGAAGCCTAAATTTTCCAACTTTGTTCTTTTTTGAGAGTATTTTGGCTTTTGTGGGTCCTTTTCATTCCCATACCCATTTTAGGATCAGTTTGGCAACTTCTATCAAAAAGCCTGCTGAAGTTCTCATAGGAATTAGGTAGAATGTACAGATCACTTTGAGAACTATCACCTTAATACTGTTGAGTCTCTCAGACTATTTTTTCAGGGCTTCAGTTCTCTTCATGGTGTCTTACAGGTTCCCATGCATATGTCTCGTGCGTTTTTTAGTCCCTAATTTCTAAAGCACTGTTATAGAGACCTTCTAGTACATCCTGTAAATTAAAATCCTGATCCATGTCCTCATTAGCAAGTAAGATGCCGAATGTAAAGAAATGGACTTGGGCTTACTACATATAAATGCTATTCTTTTTTAAGTTTATTTTTTTAAAATTATTTTATTTAACTTTATTCATTTACTTATTTTAATTTGACCAGAGAAAGAGAGAAAGAAAATGAGAAAGCAAGCCTTGAGGTCCAGGACTCAAACCACAGTTGGCCACATGGGAGTCCAGTGCCCTCAACCAACACACCACCTGCTGGTTCCATAAATGATATTCTTCTGTGAAGGCCAAATGGTGCATTGTATAAATGAACAGTTTAACAGTGAAGTAAATAGAGAAAACTGTATCATTTCATGGCACAGAGATAAAGGCATATCCAACACAAATGAGCCTTGGCCTTACGGTTAGTCCTGTGTGCATATAAATCAATTAAGCAACACTGTCAGGATAATCAGCACTGTTCACTGAAATTCGTTGTATTCCACTTCCATTTCCATTTATTTTAAAAGATTGCTTGATTTTAGGGAACCAGCAGTTAGCGTAATGGCTGTGTCGCTGGACTCCCACGTAGTCGACTGCGGTTCGCGTCCTGGACCCGGTGGCTTAAAACTCACGCCGGGCGCATGTGCGTGCATGCCCAAGATCCTGAGAGGAGAATGGAGGAGAAGGGATTGTGGTGTGACCACCCCCCCTGGGGGATGATTTCTCGCTTTCTCTCTCTATGTCTCTCTCTCTGTCTGTCTGGCGAGCGCACGTGCCCTATAGTGAAAAATCTCTCCAAAAAAAAAAAAAAAAAGATTGCTTGATTTTATAAGTATTATTAGCATCGGGAATTTATACCTACTTATATACTTTTGGACCCAATATTTTTTCCTCTCCAGTGGATATCTGTTTAACATTCAACATTTTCGGTTCACCAGCTTATTTTCCTCACAGCAGCACTGGAGCGCAGATAAAATACAGCTTTTTATTATTCCCATATTATAAATGATGGAACGGCGATTCACAGAAATTAAGCACTGTGTGTAATTGTATTCATCCAGTGGCCGCTCTGTGATTTAACGATAGGACTTTATCTTTTTACATGTCCATGTATGGGTGAGAACGGGTGGTATTCCTCTTTCTGCACCTAGGTTATTTCACTTAGCATATTGTCCTTCTTTCTAGGCTTGTGGGGAAGGGGAGCAGTATAGAGAGCTTGGTTAATGGATACAAATACGAGGAATGAATTTCAATGGTACACAGTAAAGTGAGGTAACTTGTTAACAGTAGTTTATTATGTATTTCAGATTAGCGAAAAGAGGATTTTTGATGTTTTCGACATAAAATAATGACAGCTATCTGAGATGGTGTCTAAGCTAGTTACCCTGCTTGGTCTTTACCCATCATACATGTGCATTGAAAAAAAATCACACTTGGCCCCACAAGTATGTCCAATTGTTATGTGTGGATGTTTTAAAAATCTTAGGAGTTTAGGCTCCAAATCCCTTACTCTTTCCTCTACATACGTATTGATTGTTGATTGCTTTTTTTTAAATTAGTTTTTTGCCATAGGGTGTGTGAACTCACTAGAGAGAGGGAATGAGAAAGTGAAAAATCATCTGGGGGGTGGGGAG